ACGGTGCTGGGGCTCGTCTGCTTCAGGGTTAAGGTCAGACCACGGTGCTGGGGCTCGTCTGCTTCAGGGTTAAGGTCAGACCGTGGTGCTGGGACTCGTCTGCTTCAGGGTTAAGGTCAGACCACGGTGCTGGGGCTCGTCTGCTTCAGGGTTAAGGTCAGACCACGGTGCTGGGGCTCGTCTGCTTCAGGGTTAAGGTCAGACCGCGGTGCTGGGACTCGTCTGCTTCAGGGTTAAGGTCAGACCACGGTGGTGGGGCTCGTCTGCTTCAGGGTTAAGGTCAGATTTACACCTAAGTCATCTCGCTGTTTATAATTGTAAACATTTTGCAAAATTATTAGTGAAGTTTGGGATTACTTACTAAGTTTTAGCTAAGTTATTTAGTTACTAAGGTTTAACCGAGTAGAGTAACATTGGGCAGCGCTCCCACCCTTTTTTTAAACTAAATTTTTGGTGAAATTTCAATTGGTACGAAGTAGTTCATTATTTTATTTAAATTTACAACTAATGAGGAATGTATGATGTGAATTAGACGCCTTTAGAGTTATTCAATTTTTAGTGAAACACTATTTTGTAAAAAAGTGCCTAAATGGGCCCGTTGCCTCACCCCTGGGGCAATGGGCCCATGGGCTTGGGGAAAGGCGCCCACCCTTGGTCCCTTTACCACAATTGCATATTTTTTTTGTTTTAAAGATAATAAAACAACAATTTACAGTTTAAAATAAGAAAAATGTAATTAAATATATTACATACATTCATTTATGAACAACATAAAAAATCATATCTCAACTTGAAAAAACAACATTTTCTTGGCTTTAAATAATCTATATTTCCTTGACATAAAACATATATCCTTGACTTGAAAAATATGTCCATGCAATAAAAAATTCATCCTTGACATGAAAAAATGTATCATTGACCAGAAAAAATATATTTACTTCACCAAAAAAACTTCGTTCCAGTTTCGCCCATAATCCAGATATTATGTGCAGGAAATTCGTACTTGCTCCTGATTTCAGCCAAGGATGTAGTTATCTTATCTCTCTAAACAAAGAACTCCAGGTTGCTTCATCTTGCTGTCTTTGTGCAGACGCAACATTTACTTGGCAATTTTAACTCTTGGTAATTTGTCATTCTTAATTTCTTTCAAAACATTCTAAAGTTCAGTTTGAGAATAGTTGACTTTATTGGTCTTCCTTTTATAGTTGTGCATAATGTTATAAGGGTGAAAGAGAAATAATGGGTCATAAATGCACATAATTCGAAACTAGAACCTGCTGCCTTGAGGCGGCAAATAAAAAAGAATCATAAAATATGGAGTGTAATTTGTAATTCAAAAAGCTAGTCATAGTTTTGTACAGCTCATTGAGACAAATCTAATGATGTGTTACACAAGAATTCACAGATGGGTATTGAGCCCACCATGAACGCTTTGCACCGTGACACGCATGGGCCCGTTGCCTCACGAGGTTTCATTTCAATTTATATTGTGTCAACATTTTCATTTAAAAGCTAATAGTCTAAACTTGAACTCAAAATTATCTCCATAAATAATACTTTCAAAATAAAATTCACAGTACTTTCGGAAGCTTCATTTAGAATAATCGAAAACAGTTTTTTTTCGCTGCAAAAAAACTTTTCGCTCGGTTAAAACAGTAATTTGCAAGTAATTCACCAACGCAAACTCTTAACAAAACATAGAGCCGTACACTTCAGCTCAGTGAAACTGTCGACCGGCGGTAGAGCGCACGGACCAATATCTGCCATACTTAATTAGCGAGAAACCCGCTATGGGCCCATGACCCGCAGTGTTGTCTCGTTGCCCCATGTTACCCTACTTAATCAAAAATAGAGGGGAGCAATAATTATTGTGTGAAATATTGTTGATGTTGTATGAAATAGATGAAGTGTTAGAAATTTCATCACCAACACTAATACCAAAATGTAATAAATATATTTTATAAGTTTCAGTAGTTAAAATCTTGAGTGATCTCTTTTTTTTTTGTGAAGTTTTTCCTCCAACAATAGGATCCTGACCTCAAAGAAGCAATTAGGATACAACTTTTATTTTTCTGTACTGGGTCTGCCACATGTCGATTTAACGTTATTTTTGATGTACAGTTACAGTGTTGCCGCTTTATGCAGCCTGTCTACATCGTTTTTAACAAGAAACGAACACTGCATGGGCGAAAAATATTTCTCTTGCCTAATTTATTCGATTATTTTGCACATTTCATGTTTTAACGTCGGTCAAACTTTCATAAATCAAATGGTACAAACTAAAATTCAACGCAATTCAAATTTGCGAGATAAAAGTGTTAATAAAGTCATTTTCCCCAAGGTGGTGCATGACGGAAACGCGTTCAACAAGCGTCTGCTGAAGCGCCTTAACAAAGAAGGCGACATCCACCTGGTCGCTTCAGAGGCACGAGGCGTATATTTTCTCAGGTCAGGCATTATCCAGTACTGAATACAGTATGTCTCAAATACTTCAATAAATATTTTTTTATTTTACCTAGAAGTACATTTAAATATTTATATTTAATATATAATGAAATTTTTCGTAGCTTTATGACGGCCAGAACTGTTTTCGTCACCAAAGTTTCCAACGATCGAGAAACATAACAAATATTTTTTCTTTGTTGCCCAGGGTGGCGGTTTGCTCCCGCTTCACTGAGTCTGAAGACATGGAGTTTGCCTGGCGAACCATCGAGCGCACAACCTCTGCGATGCTAGCAGAAGAACAGCGTGACGAGTAAGCTTGAGCTCGTCGAGTACAAGTCTCTGACAACACAGTCCCTCAACAATATGGTGCAGTGCCACCAGGAAAGAGTGTAAGAGAATATGAGGTGACACAGAGTGGCAAGAAAGAGAAAAGAGGAATGTAAAAATATAGTAGGAGGTTAAAAAACACAGCGCATAATTGGGTTGGTGGTATGTGTGTGGGTGTGATTGGGGTTGGAAGGGGGGGAGGAACTCGTCAGAGCAATGTTAATTTACATGTCTGAGTGGTAGTACTTTGTATACAGTATATTCAAGTTTGAGTACTAATAAGAATAAATAATGATACATATTCTCTATTTCCATGCGGTTTCCTTTTTTTTCATTTTCCGTTTCATTGTTTTTTGGCCTTTTCAAAAGATGATATGATGACGATGAGAGTGATAATGCTCGTAATAATGATGATGAGGATGGTGAGTCGCTTGAGACTCAGATAATAAGGTTTATTGTGTATTGCTGGGTTGTCGGTAGGCCTTCGGTCTCATCTTTACTGTGTGTCATTTATATTGTGAGTCGTGTCAGGCCGTCAGCGGAGTTGGACTCATACGCCTGGTCGATGGTGCGGACACCTGCCGACTGGAAGCGAGCCCGTCATATTGCATTGTATGATGGTGTGGGTTGTGTGGTTGGTTGTTACATGTACGGGGGCGGGGGACCTAATGCGTGTCGTTTGGCGCATATAAATAGCCGCTTCTGCCCTGCTATCGCGTCTGGGGGGATTTGGAATCATATGTTTTTATGGTGTACGAAGTTTTGCGTGCTTATTGGTGAAGGGTTGCATTTATGTAGGAATGTCGCATTGTTCGTGGTAGTGTTTCAGAGGAAACCAGTCGGACCTATATAAATTTAAGTCGGACATGAAGACTTTGTGAAATCGAAATGCTTTGTTATGGACTGTAAGCAGTTTGGATATGGATGATATTGATTGGGTGTAACGGCATCGGGACGTAAATGACGGATGATCTACCAACGGTGAGGAATGAAGTGCGTTCTATGTTGGATGAGAAGTGGCAAAATCTGTTTATTTTGTGTAGTTTTCAAGTGTCACTTATTTTCTTTTTACTACTCGGTGCTGATGCCGTGTGTGGCGAAATGTTGGCCTAAAACTGTATAAATACACAAATAAAGAATATTTGTGTATGGATATAATGGGTGTTGTCTCTGAGAACTTTGGGAAGTATTTCGGTTCTTTCTTCCAGGTCCAGAGATGAATAATTCCTTGTACTGTTCGTCAATAGTCATCCTTATCCCAGTGCCATAATTAAACAAAGGAGAGAGGGTCATTTTTATTGGGCTATCGGAGGTGGAGGGTCATTTTTAAGGTTGTCGACTAATGGCTGTTAAGAAAGGTAGATTAGTGAGCGTTTGAGGTCGTCATCGTCGATGAATTTGGTCCCTGGCATATAGTCAATGTCAGGGGTCTGGATCTCTGGTTGATCATAGCCTAGCATAGTGATGTAGGCGCTGAAGAATATGCCTCAAAAGCCTGATGTGGCGAAAGAACTTGGAAATTTTTGCCGAGTCTCTATCGAGGGAACGTTGCTTCAATGCCGTATAGTTGGCTTCTAGGTATTTGTAGAGTGTGGTGTCAAACCGGACCTGGCGGAAGAAGCTGGCGATATGAGCTCCAGTATTATGGCAGTCAATTTCAGTTGAGTCTTGTCTGTCAGTTTCAGTGTTGGGGGACGTTAGTTTGCTGTCTTCTGTCTGTCAGTATCAGTGTTGGGAGACGTTAGTTTGCTGTCTGCATGTCAGTATCAGTGTCGCGGGGACGTTAGTTTGCTGTCTGTCAGTATCAGTGTTGGGGACGTTATGTTTGCTGAACTGTCTCCTTAGCCATAGCCTGGTATCGACGTGAGTTTGATTGATCTTGTGTTTGATTGTCTTGTTCTGTATCTGTTGTTTGTGATGTATTTTCTGTTTGAAATATCTACAGTTAGCTGCAAGTGTACAGTGGTCACTGTGGCAATTAAAACATTTTTTTAGGTGTTGATGCACTGGGTGTAGGTGTGATCTTTGGCAGCGCATTCGGAGCAAGAGCTAGTGGTGAACATGCATTGGTTACTTATGTGATCAAATTTTTAGTATTTTTAACAGATGAGTTAAGAAACAAAACAAACAAACTAAGTGGTGTCTTCACACTAACTTATTAACTTATTCACGAACCAGCTGTTTGATTTACATTGTCCTGTTTAATTCTCCGCTGATAAATAATAATAATTCGATCGTTCCGGAAGTCATTGGGTGTTTCCGATGTTTGACAACAACACCAAAGCTGACAGTATACAGCTTGTCGGCAATCTCTTATCATGATTTATAAATTACGAGTGTTGATGAATCATGAGCGATGACGCGTCCGGAGCTCCGAATCTCCTGTAACCACGTAAATGCCGTAGCTGCTGGGGTAGGACGATCAAGTGCATACGAAGTTAATTAATTCTGTGTGAACCTCTAATGAACTATTAATAACGTTAGATGCATGTATACCCTCGCTAAAATGGTAGCCAAGTAAGGCATTTATTAGACTTTTTCTGATTTAGGAATAATTGTGCACTTTTAAGAATGAATGGGTAATACTTTCCACCTGAAACGTCACTGATACGTTCTTTTGTAGGGCAAAATCTAGTCAGGATAACCGACAGAAGCTCAACAGATGAAGTTCAACAGACAGAAGCTCTGTGTTTTGGACGAAGCCTGTCACATTTCTCACTGTAATCAAGAAACACAATCATTGTTGCGTATTTAGCGGAAGAATAATTGTGACAGAGAAACACATTAGTGGTAAGGTATTTGGTTTAAGAATTACTGTAACCAAGAAACACGTTAATATTAAGGTATTAAATTTAACAAGGAGAAAACGAAAGAAACACACTAATAGTAACGTAGTAAAATATCTAGTGACCTTGGACTGGATTAATAGCAGAGCTTTATCGCTGAGTCCCTATGCGTATCGTTGTGCTTGTTGCTTTTGTGTTGCTCTCAGTAAATAAATGTAAGAAATTCGTTTACAAATTTTGAGCTTAGGTTTGCGATGGCATTATTTATCAATAGAAATAAATGTTTCCTGCTGCACAAAATTTTTATTACACAATTTTATTTTATAGAACTTCTGAAAAGCCGACTGATGAATTCAACACTTATGCAATGTTTATAGTACGCTTTACTAAAAAAACGAATAATTGATTAAACCCGTTGATAATTCATTATGAAGCTTTCGTAAATTTGGATAAACATCACATGACCACAATATCAACATCGCCGGGACCAACAATCGAACAATGAGTTGGTCCCGGAACAATTATTTCCCAGGATTACTGTTCGAACAATCGAACAAGGTTCGAACAGTAATCAAACCTCGCCACCATACCTTGTGACTCAGTAGTTACACTTACGAATACTAAAGTTGGAGCCGTGAGTAGCAGGTTCGATCCCAGCTTCCTGTGACAGATCTACTAGTCAAAATCTACAAAGTTGCCAGATGGTTGACAACAGCATGATTGGTGCAGTAAGTAAGGGGATCGAAAGTCTGGCAAGCTGTTTAATTTTTTGTGAGATCTAGAATCAATGACTGGGCAGGTTTGATCTATTCAATGCTAACAATACTATCACAAACGTCATAAAAACAGCTTCCATATCTAACTTGCCGCTTATATAGCCTCCTCCCAAATAAAAATTAAGGGTGATACATCGATTATTATAGGTGGCGATAGTAGATTATAGGTGGCATAACGGTGGGTGGCCAGATCTGCCGAATCTCGACAATAAAACACCAATAAATCGAGAGGGTGGCGAGTATAGGTGGGATTTATAAGGCTTGAATCATCGGTGTCACATTGCAGACAAATCTCTTGTAAGCCGCCGATAACAGTTTGCCCAAACGTACAAACCCTAACAAAATTTAGAGCCGAGGGCGGCTCTGGATTATGGAACTACTAGGACTCGGGCAGCATAGTCCATAAACTTCTCTATGTCCGCTTTTTGGTCTACATTCCGGTCCCAGAATCAGACAGCTACAAGAGCCTGGTCCTTATTCTGGCGTATTAGAGTCGTCCCCGTATCCGAGGAAGCTCTGGCCGAGTCTGACGTGATTAAAAAAATCGCCCCCCTTCCTCTGCAGTGAGAGGAAGGGAGGGGCCATTGAATTTATACGATATTTACTGTCAATACCTGTTTCTGTAACTCGCTGAATACAAAGAGCATATTAAGGAAATTCAGAATCGTGGGTAATAATGTTCGTGGAAAAACATTTTTCCTTCACATCCGAAGAAATAATGCAAAAGTTATCGATATTCAACTAATGGCAGATGGTGGACCTTGAACATGTAACATGTTCAGGCAGCTAATGCACCTTGAACATGTTCAGGCAGCTGGTGGTCCTTGAACATGTTCAGGCAGCTGGTGGACCTTGAACATATTCAGGCAGCTGGTGGACCTTGAACATATTCAGGCAGCTGGTTGACCTTGAACATGTTCAGGCAGCTGTATGACCTCGAACATGTTCTGGCAGCTGGTGCACCTTGAAAATGTTCAGGCAGCTGGTGGACCTCGAACATGTTCTGGCAGCTGGTGTACCTTGAACATGTTCAGGCAACTGGTGGATCTTGAACATGTAAGGCATCACTTATTCGTATCCTTTATAAAATGGGTGCCAACAACTTGATATTGATACTCCGTGGAAAGGAAAGAATTGCAATTATCAATCACACGACATTGATTATTTCATCTGGAAACTTATTCAGAAACATTGTCCTTCAAAATCAAGCAAAATTCATTAGAAGTGCCGAGCTAAGATTATAGGTATTTTCTGCTGCAGGTTAAGACATCAAGCAGGTCAGATGGAAACACTTGACGCTTGGCATGAAACAGGATGCCTTAAATTACTGTTCTGATTAACATCTACGCTCAAATTTGATAGAATTAAAAAAAAATTCTAGTATGTTTCGGAATAGATTGTAATCTGATAGTCATATCGGCAGTC